AAAAAAAAAAAAGGAAACCAACCGACGATGGAAAAAGGGAAAAGAAAAAAAAGGGAACTGCAAATGAATTAAAAAAAAGGGGCGGCGGCCATCCGTTGGCGGCCGCTTCGAGATACTCCCTCGCATCAACGCCCGCCGCCGCCCGGCCCGATGGGCGCGCTCGCTCGTTTTTTGGCGCGCTGTGAACAATTCGGTACGCGCGCCGCTCTGCACGCCGCCCCTCCCTCGATCGCCTTCATTAGCTGGCCCGAATCAAAACTTCGGCCCGCTTCCGGCGCGCAGCGGACACAACCTCCCCCCGCGGGCCGCTCGCGCTTAAAGGGTAGGATAATAATAATATATATATAGAATAATAAAAAGAATAGGACATTTGCAGTCACCTCCAGTGGTGGCCGCAATTTCCTTAGCCCTGCGGCTCCACAGGTTGTCGGCAAATGGGCACACAAATGGCACACCCGGGGCTCCGACAGAGTCTGCGTGACCAGCCTTGTTCCTCACGGGCCCCATTGCGGATCTTGGAGGTAGTAGGAAATATCCAAATGGGAACTTTCGAAGACCGGCGTGGGGAGGGGTCCTATGCGATCGGCCGCTGCAGCCTGAGGCCTCCGCCCTGGCGCACCCTTCCCATTGTGCCCAGACACGACTCACTGTCTTTCGAGACCCAATGAGCATGCTCACACTCAAACCGGTCACATCAGATCTTAGGTGGCTGGTGTACCTGCAGAAGGTTCCCGCCACTCGGCTTCTTCCACCTTGTGGGCTAATCGCCCACAAGCCCGCATGTATGTTGACTTCTTGGTCTGTGTCTTCCAAACAGGCAGGATAGAGAAATTCCGCTAGCATCCCGAACATGCAGGAACCCAAACTGGCCCGCCAAAAAGGCGCGTGTGGTCAAGGTCCTCGACTGTCGTGACGGCCACTTCGCGGAGATTGCAACCGCTGGCCCCTTCAGCCCACGCTGGGTGGTACCCCGCAAACAACCTTGGTACCGGCGTTGTTGCCTCACCCCAGAAACGGGAACGGGAACTAAAGAAACATAAAAATAAAAATAAAGGTAAAAATAAAAATACGAACATCGGAAAACGGTGCTTTGGGGGGGGGAAGACCGTCGGCGCCCCCTCTCAGTTTCGCCAACCGGGCCCACGGATGGGCTGGCAACAAAACCAAGGGGGATAGTCTGGCAGGACCCTCAACCCCTCGGGTTCTTCAATCGCTCCAAACCTCCATCGCAGCCGGTCGCCGCCCTCGATCCTCGTACCTCCGCCTCGAAAGTCCAATGCCGTAACCAATAGTGCTAGTCCCTAAGGTTGAGGCGGATTACTGCAAAATTCAACATAAATTGTTGTTGCACGACACGCGGGCCTACCAAAATACCTCAAGGCTACTCCTTCGCCTACGAACCAAACTCACGACTGCCGACCTATGACGCCCGCCGCTCATAGAGCCTGGCTCCATCCACGACCGTCAACCTCCCGCATCTACCGCGTGGAGGTCACCGCTTGCGTTCTACTTTCTCTTGCACACCCCAATTACTGCCCACTTCCGATGACGCATGTCGTATAAACACAGATGTACCATGGTCACTTCAAATAAAAGAAAAACTTTTCCTAGTTTTAATCAAAGCCAAAAATTTTGCCGGCGGAAACGTCGACTCTATAGCATCAAAATAAGAATCATCGCGCGCGCTTCAAAATTGCGCGCCCACACACACTCTGCTTCTAGTCAACCATTCAGTCAGCGTGAACAAAAACATAACGGCGACTCGTGCAGTGTACTCAAATTTCCAACGAGACTTATTTTCTGTCACTTGCAAAACCCAGGGCGGATACCCTTGTAAGGGTATTCGCGCCGACAGCGTGTACTATTCCTCTTCCGCACCCTTCGATTCGGTGCCAAGTGGTGAAGGCCAAGTCATTCCGGGCTACTTATGCTTACGAGCAGCCCGACGAAATCGGCCTATGTTTCCTACGAACCGTCACGGTAACCGACTCTTCACCCACGGACTTGTCTTCGGACCCCCGTGTGGTGCGGTTGCTTGACGAGTTCGCCGACATCTTCGAGTCACCTACCGATCTGGTGCCGGATCGGCTGATCTCTCACGAGATCATTCTTGAGGCTGGTGTCGTGCCGCCGAAAGGTTGCATTTATCGCATGAGCGAGGAGGAGCTTACGGTCCTCTGCGCACAACTCCATTATTTGTTGGACAAGGGCTGGATCCGCCCTAGTAGCTCTCCATACGGAGCGCCAATTCTCTTCGTACGAAAGAAGAATAAAGATCTATGATTGTGCATCGACTATCGCAAGCTCAACGCGCAAACCGTCAAGAATGCGGGGCCTCTTCCTCGCATCGACGATCTTCTTGAGCGATGGGGCGGCGCAAAGTATTTTTCCAAGCTGGATTTGAAGTCGTGATATCATCAGATCTCAATCCGACCGAATGATCGTTCCAAATCCGCATTCAAGACGCGGTATGGGCATTTTGAGTGGGTGGTCATGCCTTTTGGTCTCACCAACGCCCCGACAACCTTTCAAGCGGCAATGACCAACGAGTTTCGTGCAATGTTGGACCGGTTCGTGCTGGTCTACTTAGATGATATTCTCGTCTATAGCCGGTCATTGGAGGATCATCTTGAGCACCTTCGACGAGTGTTGGAGACGCTCCGCCGCGCCAAGTACAAGGCCAACCGCGACAAGTGCGAATTTGTCCGGCAAGAGCTGGAATACTTAGGCCATTTTGTCACACCGGAGGGCATCACTCCGCTATCGGACAAGATTCAAGCCATTCAAAAGTGGTCGGAGCCACGGAACGTCACGGATGTCCGTCCGTTCCTTGGTCTCGTCGGCTACTACCAGCGTTTTATCAAGGGCTACTCCAAGATCGCGGCCCACTTGACCAAGCTTCAATGCGAGGATCGACCGTTTGACTTCGGAGAGGAGGCGCGGGAATCATTTTTGGCTCTCAAAGTCGCGCTATTATCTGTGGAGGTCTTGCGCATATACGACCCGCTTTTGCCTACGCGCGTCACTACGAATGCGTCCGGCTATGGCATTGGTGCAGTCCTCGAGGAACACGATGCCGTGTATTGGCACCCAGTCATGTATTTCAGCAAGAAAGTGCCCGTCGTGCACTCCATTGACGATGCACGCAAGAAGGAGCTCCTCGCCTTCGTCCACGTGCTCAAGCGGTGGCGGCACTTCCTCCTTCGTCGAAGCCAATTCCGATGGGTTACAGACAACAATCCATTGGTCTTTTACAAGACCCAAGACACTGTCAACAACACCATCGCTCGATGGAAGGCTTTCATCGATCAGTTCGACTTCTTTCCCGATCACATCTCGGGGTAGTCGAACCGTTTTGCGGATGCTCTCTCACGGCGTCCGGATCATTGTACCGTCGTCTACTCAACCTTCGAGATCGACAACGACATGCAAAACAGCTTCATCCGCAACTACCAAGCCGACCCCGAGTTTCGCGACAAGTACGCGAATTGCCCCTCTCCCAATCCGGCGCCTTCTCACTACCGGATCCAAGAGGGGTACTTGCTTGTCCACACACGGGGGAAGGACCTTCTTTGTGTACCGAGTGACCCTCACTTGAGTACACGGCTTCTTGGCGAGCTCCACGATGCTCCCGCCACCGGACACTTTGGAGTCAATCACACGAGTGGCCGACTTCGCGAGTGATTTTGGTGGCCCGGCCTTCTCGGCGACGTCACACACTATTGCGAGTCATGCGAGGTTTGCCGACGCTGCAAATCCCCCAACCATCGTCCATGCGGCGAGTTGCGACCGTTACCGGTCCCCTTGCGGCGAAGGGAAGCGATTGCCATGGACATTACCGACCCGTTCCCCAAGCACAAGACCGGCGTAGATGGGACTCTCACGGTGGTCGACCGACTCACCAAGTTCGCTATGTTTTTGCCTTGCCGCTATCATGCCAGGGCACCGGAGTTAGCCGAGGTTCTTTACGCCGGTTGGATTCGAACCAAGGGTTACCCCAAGGAAATCGTCTGCGACCGCGACACTCGGTTCATGTCCGATTTTTGGTTGGCGCTCATCAAAAGATGGGGCTCATCTCTCAAGCCAAGTTTGGCTCGCCACCCCCAAACCGATGGCCAAACGGAGAGGGCGCATCAAACCCCGCACAAGTGCTCCTTCGCACTCTCATCCGCCCCGACCAGAAGGATTGGGTTGAGCGGCTGCCGGATGTCAAATTGGCCTACAACTCGTCCATCCACCCGGCTATCGGGATGTCGCCCTTCGAGTTCGAGCACGACTCGCCGACACAATCATTCCACGAACGGACGAGAGCGACGACCATCTTCTTTTCTTGCGTCGGATGCAAGAGCTACTTGTCAAGGCACACGACCGGATGGCCAAGACACAGCAACGCATGATCCAACAGGCCAATCGCCTGCGTCTTCCTTGCCCATTCTGCGTCGGCGATCTCGTTTGGGTTTCCGCCGCAAAATTCAGCCTTGAACAAGATATCTCTCGCAAGCTCCTCCCGAAATGGATGGGGCCCTGGCCGATCGTGGCACCCGCTGGGGATGCACCCGAGAGACCTTCCTTCACTATTCAGGTGCCCGCCCACTTGCCCGTCTACCCTGTCTTTCATTGCTCCAAGTTGGCTCTTTACACGCCAGCGGAACATGACGATTTTCCCAGGAGACATTTGCAAGACCCACCTTTTATGAACGGTTTTCAGGAGGTCGGCGACATCATCTCCCAGCGACGCTACGGCAACAGGCCAACCGAGTACTTGGTCCATTTTGCATACTGCACACACCGAGCTGACCGTTGGTTGACCCGTGCGGAACTTCAAGCAACAACTCCAGACGTTCTTGCACGCTACAAGCGAAAGATGCAAGGCAAGACGGTCTCTTTGGCTCCACGCCACACCCGCGTCCAGGTTCCAGCTTCAGATTGTCAGCTTCGCCCTCACCCCGGCTTGACTTCATAAGGAGGGGGGGGTGTTACATGTTGCGCCTGCACACGAGGGCCATTTTCCAGGCCTTGCGTCCCTCAGGCTGAAGGCCTGAAATTCAGGCTGAAAGCCTGAAAACCAAAGCCTACAGGCCCTGTGTCTGTTCAGCTCGAAAGCCTGAAAACCAGGGGCCTACAGACCCTGTGTCGTTTCAGACTAAAAATGGCAGTATCCTTTTTAGCCTGAAACGAAGGGCCATTTTCGGTCTTTCATCAGACCGACCTGCCCTGAAACTCAGGCACTAAACCAGGGTTTTAGGAACAGGCTATTTTTGGCCTGTTCCCACCACAGCTGCAGCGCCAGGCCTTGGCTCAGTTTGGCACTGGCAAGAGCAGCCTCCTGGACTGCCCACCCTGCAACTGCAGGCAGTCGGAGGCAGTCAGGAGGCAGGCCGAGGTAGTACATAGGGACTTCCCATGCACTTCATGGGCAGGCAGGAGGCAGTCCGTAGTCTTCAGGATTTGGCAGCAGCACTCTGGAGGAGCGCTGCAGGAGTAGTTGTAGCGTTAACAATAGTCTTCAGCGCTGGGCGCTAGTAGCGTTAGTTGTAGTCTTCAGCGCTGGGCGCCATAGCTAGAGTAGTACTCGAGAGAGAGAGATTGGGCGGAGGCCAGAGGGACTTACCTGCAGCGCCATTGCTCCAGCTTCGTCTTCGAGGTACCTGCAGCACAGCGCCATCTTCACATGTCAGCTCCTGGCACACGAGAGAGAGACTTCTTCTTCTTCCTCTTCTCAGTCCACCATCTCCTTCTCACCCTCTCGCTATCTGACTTCACTGCATCAGCAGACTACGAGAGAGAGAGAGAGAGAGAGAGAGAGAGAGAGAGAGAGAGAGAGAGAGAG